CCCTGTCAGTGTAGAAAATAGAATTGAGTATTTCCACTTATTTACAATTTATTATGGATTAGATAAGTATTAGGTTCAAATTGTTTCATCTTGTTTCTTCTCCTTGATGTGATTCGAACCAAAATACTTCTATGCTCCTATATTCTATATTCCTATCCTAAGTACTATTTGGAAACTTTGTGTGAGTATGAGGTTATAAGAAACTCTCCATATGAAGTTGAGTTTAGGTCTATTTATTATTAAAGTTTTACTAAGTTTTAACAAATTAACTTCCTATAGAACATACAATGCTTACCTACTGTTAAAATTATGAACGCACATTGCATGAAACCAATTCGACTTAAACCCGTGAAGACACAATTAAGCATTTTGTTTAACATGTTTTATTCGGCATTTTATCTTCACAGATTTTGACACAGAAGTACAAGATTATGACGGTTTATCAAAAGAGTCTGAAGTCAAGGCTGGATTGGATAACCCTGGTGCGGTGATTGAATCCTAAAGTTATAAAGTACTTACGTCACCATGATAAATGCTAAACATTGTATTGTTGGAGATGTACTTTTCGGTGTAGGCCTAAAAATGGAATCACCATTCTTCAAAACACACACGTAATATTACATTAGAATAACATGTCTCAGACTATAAATCAATGGTTTTTAAATTGTTAGTGTCAAAGTCGTACTGTTAAGAATAATTTTTGCAGGGGTCACATGTCTCCAGGGAGTCGCGCAAACCATCCGCTGGTCGGGGGGCCTACCACTCGCATCAGCAAGCTCGATTCATTGTAAGTCAAGTGTCCACATCCTACCACACAATTCCAAGGGCTACTACAAAGGGCTCCAATTAGCTCATTCCTTTGCGTTAAGTAATTAATTCGCGACTATTATAACCTACAGCTAATGTTTTGATTTCATTGTAGTATGTTGTATGCAGATCTATCCGAAATAAATAGGCGAACGTTTCTCATAATGTATGCTTAAAATACATTTTTTGAATACACTATTTATATATCAACAGAACACATGCTCCAGACTAACAGCGCTTAGTGAGCAACGTAGATGCTCTGTTTATATCAATCTGTAGGTCCAAATAATTAGCCTATTTTGTCGATATTTTCGTAGTCGATTGCTTATTACAATGTTAAGAGTTGTTTGGAGCGCATGAAACACTTAGTGAATTATTAATAAAAATACACTACCTTGAAATAATAATTTATTTGGTACTGGTTTTCATATTCTTCATAGTATATATTTTATTTTAATTGTATGACGACGAATAACCAACATCTATTTAAACAAGTAGTGGTAGCTCTTCATATCAACCCTCGTATGACAGTAATGAACCAACAATTTACCTTTCGGCTAAGTCCCACCCCTTAAAAATGTATTTTGGTTTCATAAGGCCAAAAAAGTGTGTTTGCCCTCCTCCACCTGCCCCTAACTCACTGAAAAAAATAAGGGCGGAAAAACCAAAAAAATAAAAAAAATAATAACTCTTTTTTTTTTAGCTTTTTCTTTTACAAATTAAAGAGAATGTGAGTGAATTTATCTTAATTTTTTGCCAGATGCCCATTCTAGGTATCTGTGGGTTACTTTTATTCCATCTGATGAGTATTTAAAAACAAAAAGTAAATTTAAAAAAAACCTTTTTCCACCGGCCCCTATTTATAATTTTTTTTAAAGAAGGGCAAACAAACAATTTATTTTATTTGGCCTAATAAGGCATAAAAAAATGTTTTCAACGCCTGTCCCTAGCTCATGGAAAAAAAGGGGCGGCGTTTTTAAATAAGTTTTTTTTTTTATTTTTGTTCACAAATTTTAAAAAGTGATCTTTATTTTTCTCCATTTTGCACATGGAAGTTGTCTAAATTTGGTGTCTGATGTAAGGTATCGCCATTTTAGGCCTAAATTCATTGCAAAAAATCGATTGATTAATACCCTTTTGAAAAACAAACAGTGAGACAGGCTTAGTTGCAAGCATTGCAAATCATGTTAATTTTGGTGGCAGGAAAAGAAAAAAACTTTATGCGCCCGCCCCTCCTACAATTTTCAGCAATAAATGGCAAACAAACAATTTATAGTTTTAGGCCCAATGTTCTGTCAGGACACTGGATATTTTCGGAATGTCAATCGCGCTTAACAACTGACAAATCAGAACAGTGTTAGGAATACACGCATGTCCAGTTAACACACGTGTCCCAAAAATGCACATGTTTTTACACTGTAGTTTTTTTCTGCAAATTATTTGATTTATTTTAACCAAAGCTATCAAACAATCTACCTACCAATCAGAATTGTTCACATAGATGACCATTTGTTATACCAGTCCACTCAAGACGTCCTTGAACATTTATGTGTTTGCTTTATTGGAATATTGTTCATTCGCCCGTCAAATGCATACAGGTAAAATACTGTTCGTGTTGGAAATTTTTATCTTACATAAACACAAATTCAACAACTACATCATTAACACAAATTTAGTAAATTAACAAAACAAAGAACAATGAAAACTATTATAATTAGCAAAAATAGCGAATATCTGTAGATATTAATGAAAAATTGGCCTAATTGGCCTAACGCATTTAAAACCATCTCCGTTACATAATATTATTTTATTTTTCGAATTACGAATATCCTGCGCTTGTGACTCAGACACTCTGAACTAGATATGCGATGTCGTCGCCAGTGCAGCATTCTATCCAAGTTTATTGACAAGCCATTGTAATTCATTGGATTTGGATTATTCCTAAATGAATTGTCCGTATTAATTCTATCCTTGTATGTAAAAATAATATCGAATGCCTCAGGTAGACAAAGTAAAACGTAAGGGCCTACATGTAGATATAGATGAAAGACACTTTCTTGAACTTCTCACTGCAGTGAACTGAAATAAAATTGACATTGTAAAGGTATGTAATAATTAATGTTCTAACTCCACTACACTATTGATATATACCCGTTTGGGCCATTTTTTTTTTCAAACTTGTGGATTCTTCTTAAAGGCAAGCTCAGGTCGACACGGAACTAAAAGGAACTCAACTGGTCGACATGAGCGCCCGCGCAACTGGAAGGAGCTGAACGGAACTAAGCTCATGTCAACTTTGTGCAACTGAAAGGAACTTCACTCATGTCGACCGGCAACTGAAAGGAAGTGACCTTTTCCGCACGAAATCTCATCAACTGCAAACATAATTGTTTGTATTAAAACGTGTAGTATATTCAAATACTCTATAATAAAATTATTTTTTAAAGTTTATCTACTTTTTTTTTATTTTTTTAAATGTGCTTTATGATTTATTTCAAAAGGAGTTTCTGGGAAACATTTGCTCGATTACTTCCACTTTTATGAAGTATCTGCAGGGGCGGATCCAGAAATGTTCGAAAGAAAGGGTTAGAGGGGGCCGAAAGTTATTATACAAAAATTAAAAAAAATAAATAAAGTATTAAAAGAAGGCTCAAAGAATTTAAAAAGTCAACATAAAACTAAAATTTATGAAAGATTAGTTGATAATTACAGGGGAAATGCATTATGACTGAACGTAAATACATTTAACCGTTAATGTTTTAACTCAACGACCCGAACTAAATATTATTGTTTTACTTTTTACTGTTTAGTAGTTAACAATGGCATGATAATGGCCCTAATTTACTTTATGGTGTAGGTTCACATGCTATCTAGGCCTACGCATTGTATTAACATTTTTATTGTAAATGTGCCTTTAGTTTATCTTTATATTTTAAAATGTCTAGCCTAGGAGACTGTAGCATAAACAGTCATCCAACAAAACAACATGTATCATAATTTTTTTTTTCAGTTAATGCATGTTCATTACGATTCATATCATGATCAACGTTTTCTCAGTTCTTTTCAGTTCCGAATCAATGTTTTTTATCGCGCTTTTTTCCAGTTCCTTTCAGTTCCACAAAAAGTAGAACATGGGCAACTGAAAGGAATTCAACTCAACTTAACTCAACTTGACAAATTTGCGCAAATGTTAGTTCCTTTCAGTTGCGCGGAGCGCTCATGTCAACCAGTTGAGTTGTGTTGAGTTGAGTCCCGTGTCGACCTGAGCCTATTATAGCTTATGCGGAGATCAAATACTATAGTGGAGTGCTGATTATTTCTAAAATTTGGTCATGCAAGTTAAGTGACTAGTGTTTTCAGTTACGTTATTTCCAATTATTGACAATACCCTAATAGTAATGTGGTTAGACCTATGTAATCATTCTTTTAAATAAAATTCTAAATGTATTAACGCGATTGCAGCTTAATGGTCATCGTTACAAAATAAGAACGTTGGCAGACAGAAAAGACCTATAACTACACAGCACTGAAATAGTCAGAACTTTAAAGTTATTTACTTAGGAACTACGCTTTTCTGCAGTATAACATAGTTTCGCTTGTGAAGACTCGTAAAAAGTACAATTAAAACACAAGAAAAAAAAACACAGGTTGCCCTAAAATTATATTATAAAAATATTAAAGTGAATGAACCCCTTTTAACATTGGTTTGTAATTTTTTTAAGCCGTCAGTTAAGTATCAAAAAATGTATTTGTAATGTTCTTTAATTTATTACAAAATGTAGCCTATAACATACGCAACTTATGTAGACATGGTCGCAATAGTTTTTATTGCTATGGAATATATTTCTTTGCACAGTGTTTAATCTAAAACAACCAATTAGCACAAGTAAACAAAAACACAGATTACTCTAAAATAATATTATAAGAATATTAGAGATAAATTGATATAAGTTTACAAACCAAAAAAACGTACAACGTATTAACAAAGGAGTGATTACAACAAAACCTTACATGTTTAATAGAAATTTTAGTTTTGATTTTGTTTTGCAATACGGAACAACACATTACAATTCATCTGTATTTAACTTCCTGGTTGACAAATGATTTGGGTTATTTCCAGACTTATTTAGGTAGTGCTTTTTAAAGCAGAATCTTGGATGAACTCCTTTAAACATTGTTTTGTGGTATTATGCTGAAGGTATTATAGTGTTTCTAGTTGTGAATATGATTCTCATACTTTGTTGGTTCTTGTGTGTTGGCAGCGTCCCAAAGCATATAAATTAAAATTTATTTCGTTACAGTTTACAGTTTTATTGGGAATTTAAAATCAATGGCACTCGCTCTTTTCCGAGTGGTGCATCCAAAAACAAAAACATCTTAACTAAATTTTATATACTGACCACAAAATATACAAAATTATGCACAATAGAAAAAATAACTCAATCTTACACAGAACAGAAGAAACAGATTATTGTGTTTTCATACGGACAACCCAAGTTACATCGATACATTTTTTTTTTGTTATAGAGATCAGATACAAAATGACGTCAAGTTAAAATGAAAGTATACTAAAATGGTACAACTATAACGTTTTTACACAGTGTTAACATATAGTATAGGAAAAAATTGATTAAAATACAAAAGTACAAAAGTAATAACAGAAAACAGAAGGAAAATATAAGTATATACGGTACCACAATAACGTTTTGGGGATATTAAATTACTGACCGTAATACTGTACGTGAAATCTTTACTTACCAGCAGCATTATAGTTTTAGGTATATTTCCGATCTAAGTCGCCATGCTTTACTTAAATATTGTCTAAAGTTGTTGTCTATTATTTGGCCTAAAATTAGGTTATCATTATATAAATTATCTAAAAGAAAGTGTCCTTTATAGTCAATAGAACCGTTAGTAAAATTTGTCCAATGTAAATGTATTAGTTGGTTCTATATTATAAAAAGCTTCCATATTATTTTTCTGAAGGATGGTTATTAAAAGGGAAAAACCAAGGTATTCTTAATTTATCTTCTATATTAAAGGCTGCCTTAAAAAGTAGTCTTGGCCATCTTTCATCATTCATGTTTTTTTAGGCGATTAAAATACTCTGCCTTAGTAGTATTTTGTTGCGATAATATTGATTCCCATCCTAATTCCCCAATAAAGTGCCTCTTTGGCAACATATCGTAAAGATTTCAATCCTTGTCATAAGATATTGAAGGTTCTCTATCTTATCTAATGCAGAATTACTATTACAAAGCCATATAGCACTTGCGTAATTAATGGTTGGTAGTCCTATGCATTTTCATAATAAATCCCCATATTATATTCTATTGAAATTGTCTTGGTTGTTAATTAATGATTTAATATGCTATAGATCGGTTCCCTTTTCTGTTGACTTCATCGA